TGTTTTACAGCACAGGGAGACTGGCAGAATACAAACAAGGCACATTGTTATTGTTTATGCCATGAATTCAAACCTGAGGCAGGTGAGAAGGGTGCCCCAGCCAGCACCAGTGCAGCACTGGGCCACAGGCAGGCAGAGCAGGGGTGGGGCAGCACTGGCCCAAGACCCTCACCACAGCTGCCCAGTTGGGTGGGAACGAACAACAACAGGAGCTGGAGCTATAGGAGCAATTGGAAATACGAATTAAGCCCAAGACTGATGGGCAGCAGAAACAGAATAGGGCAGAGACTGAAAAGGAAAAGTGGAGAAAGGAAGCCTACTTTAACAAGACATCCTTGAGACCTCATTTCAGAATGCTGTCTACTGCCACAGTAGACCTGTCTCCTCGTGCAGAAATAACTCACATTTCTAACCTGCCTAGCTGAAGTTACTTTCTTTTTCAATGTGAATTCACTTTGTGTCTGTAATATAACCACCCTTCCCTCTCCCCATATCTCCCTCCCTTCCCCCCCTTCCCCCCTCATTTAGGAGACTCCAAAATAAAGAAATTATCTGCTCCTTGGAAACAGAAATTCATAATTACATTTCTTTCTCATTGCAGTACACATAACAGGGAACACAGAGTTTTAAATTTCCCCAGCTGCTTGGATATTTGGAGTGGACACGGAGCACCCATTTTCTCCTCAGCTAACCTGTGGAGCTTGCTGCTGTGACAGGTCACCAAAAGCAAGTACTTTCCAGGATTCAGAACTGAAATGAATGTGCAAATGAACATGCACGCACACCCCAATATATATTTATATTCATATTTATATATAAACAGCAAGTACTTTCAGCAAGGACAGTAACAACATCAAAGGAATCTGGTGAACAAAGGTGCTCTCCATTTGCCACGGACTGGCCTTTGTTGTAGACAGACTGGGCTCTGCCTGGTCTCCATGGGTTTTCCAGCAGCCTGAGTCTGCTCAAATCCCAAATCCCAAACAAGCAGCATTGGTGAGGGTGCTGGATACATTTAGATGACAACAACAACCTTACGGTTAGCAGCGCAGGAGAAGAGGAGTAAGTAAACACAAGCAAAGTATGCCAGTTGCTTTATTAAAAGCATATCCATTGGGCTGCTTCTGCTACAGTGGCCAATAAATTCCCTCTGTCCTAACCCACTCAAAGTGCCAGGATACATTATTCAATACATGAGTAATCAACCACATTCTTTTGGCTAATAGTAAGTTGTTGAGCTGGACTCTTCATGAAGGTCAATAGCAACACCACTATGGTAGCTGCAGAGCGTGACAGAGCCTCATTACCCACCGGATTAAAACAAGGATCCGTGCAAGGATCCTGGGTGATGAAGGTAACGAGGTTCCTGAGTGGGCAGAGGCACTTCTGATCAGGCTGTCAAGTCACATTGAAAACCATGGGAAGGGACTCAGCACCCAGTCAGGTGGAGGACGAGTTGTTCATGTGGCCACCAGAAAAACCAGTAGGCCCACTGGATATTCTCTCTTTGCATGGAATGATAATTTGGGTTCTGAAGGGCAACTGGAGAGTTGAACTTGAGGGTGCCCTCTGTACCTTGGGGGACTCTGTGCCAACTGCTGCAAAGGAAACGAGCAGGGGCTATGGTAACAGTCCTTTTCCTTGCAGGTTTTCAGACCAGGCAGCTGTTGAACTCTTGTATTAATACTGTGCTCTGCAGCTGTAGTGCTTGCCAGAAAAGAAAGCCCCTCTACTTTAGGTTTTGTAACATTCTTGTTCATGGGTCTGTTCTCTCTCTCTGTTTGCATTAGGTTAAATGCTGCTGAAGTAGACAGGCCTAATTATGGCCTTTCATTCAAGATTAATATGAAGCCATTAGGCTGGTTTATGCAACCAGGTAGCTGAGCAATAGAAACATCTAAAAGAAGTATGAGGCAATGTTGGAGGCTGAAACCATGCAATCAGCGGGCTTTCATTGTGAAAAGCCTTGGGAAACAGAGGAGTGAGTGCTGCCTTCATCCACTGACTTGAGACAAAACTCGGCAAAGAGGAGACAGGGGCTACCAAACCCACCAGCAGTCCAGCTCAGACCAGGGGCTGAGTCAAACAGGAGAGCTTGCCAATCCCAATGCCCCCATCGCCGCTGGCACTCAGCAAAATAAGCTCTAGAAGCTCTTTCCCAGTGATGTGGACAATTGCCCAATTCATTTCCAGCTTCTTCTCCAAGCAGAAATGCCTCAAAGAAACTTGGGTGTTTTTTTAATGGCTGGACCAGGAAAGCGTAATGGCACAGCAACACTTCTGGGAGCTCTCTCTCCCTATGCTCCAAAACATTGTTCTGCTTACTGTTGTAGTTGTGCAGTTAGGTGAGATGCAAGGAGAATTTCTTAGCAGTTAACTGGGTCTTCACTAACTTGGTTAATGCCATCCTAATTATTTTGTAAAAGGAGGGATTAGATGACATGTGAAAGACAATAATTAAGAGAGAAAAATCAATTGAAGAAAAATCAAAGTTTGATTGTAAGGAAAGAGCATAGAATTTCAAGAAAGGATTTAGGAATCAGAGCTTATGAGATAATAATGGTATTTTGAATAAAGGATTGGTTTGAATATTAACATTTGCTAAAAACCTATATTTAAATTTACTCTTTCATTGGTTTTAAGATAAATTTATTTTAAAAAGCCCAGCATGCCTTCTCCCTTGAGGCCTGGAGGAAACAAGAGACATGTACCCCCAGAGATGAACAAATCACTTGAATTTTTCATGAGAACTGTACTTCCAAGGGAGAAACACCGAAAAGAAGACACTGATATGGCAGGCATAGTGCTGATATTGCATAGTGCTGCTGTGGGATCTTCCTGCCTTTCTAGGGCATGAAAGGACCTTTTGGAGAGAAATTTCTTTTGGGCAACACTGTAAATGAGTGTGAATAGATTTTAACCATTTTGAAAACGTGAAGGAATTTGTATACTTCTATACACCCAACAGGTACCTTTCATTTCCAATCACGCTACTGTGGATGCACAACTACAACTGTTTTCAGGCAACCAGTCACTTCCTTTTAAGCTCAGATAGCAGAAAAGCACCAACCCTTATCCCTTCACATGTATAATTTTCATCAGGGCAGGGTGCAGAAGTGCCAGGTACTTTCCAAAGAGGCAGTCTCTATGTAGAACAGACATTCTTTGCTTAATACTGTTATGATTTCCAGCTTCTACTGCAAAACACAGAACTTTCCTGTCAGGAGCTAGAGAAAGCACATGCACGCACACACACATTAGGCACTTTGTTTTATTTTGCAAAAAAAAAAAAAAGTCTTTATATATAAACGATTTCATTCTCTCTCAAAACATTCTACAACTATACAGCTGTTTGCTCCATCATTTGCATATGAAATACCACAATACAAAAATAAGGTAGGGGGGAGGCAAAAGAAGCAAAACAGCAACCAATTTCTGCATGTGTTTCCACGTATAAACATTTGAAGCCTTACAAAATTATTTACATCGTTTGTCAACTATTTACATTGAGAGCAACATTTCTAACTATAACAAACAAAACTATAATTTATCAAGTATACGTAAAATTGTCTTGAAAAAAGAAGAGTCTATCATATACCACAAATAAATAAAGACAAACAACAGTTTTAACAAAGCTAGTTTTTCCTGCAAGACCCTTTTTTTTTTTTTGGTATTTTGATTGTCTATTTTAGCCTTTGGTTGACAGCTTAATATTACGGCTTGTGAAGTTCAGACACTTCTTAGGTTTGTTTGGTTTTCTCCTGTTGTCTGGCCAAATCCTACCTGGTCTAACCTCATCTTTGGCCCTCCATCTATGATTTCAAGGCTGAGCACGGTGGATCAAAGTCATTGTTAGCATAAAAGGGCAGCATTTCATTGACTTCCGTGGAGTTTCAGCTACTTCTGTAAGCAGTAAATTTTTCCCTGCGTGTGTCAGTCTGAACAGTGGATTAACTAAACTGCACTGTAATTTAAAAAAAATTACTGTATCCTTTACCTTCTAGTAAATTACATCCAATATCCACATGAAACTAGATCATACTCGTGCTGAACCAGCTTCATATGTCTATGTATGAAAACTGCATCCTAAATCCTTCTTTTTAAAGTGATACTAAGTTTAGCTTATGGTAAGAGGTTTAACATTCTGTGTTCATTTTAACTATCCCCGCTATTTCAGCTTCCAACATTGACTTTATAGTTCATTCTCCATGTTTTGCCCTTTTACGCAATTTGAAAACAAACTCCTGCTTTGAATATTCAGTGCACACCATTGAGTTAACAGGTACAGAACATCTGACTAAATTGGTACTATTTTGAGAGGTATTTAAGTATTTTTTTTTATAAATGTGCCAAGTTATCAAATGTAAAACAACTGCTTATTTCAGATGTTTCTTAGAAAACTTTTGTATTAAACCTAAAAAGCTGATTTGCATATTTACAAAATCTTTGTCATAGCAATCATGCAACACACAGAACAAAATGCTTTGTTCTATGGCTGTTTATGAATTTTCCTATGTATTTTATATCCACAGAACGGCTTAACATTAAAAAAAAACCCCACATGTACTTAAGTATGTCCAGTAAAAACCTGACAGATTACAGTTCATGGCTTTTCCACTGTGTGCATTCATCTGCATCCTCTCGTTAATTTGTTTACTAAACATTGTCACAATAATGACAGTGCTTTGGTCAAAACACTGCAAGAGGAAAAAAAAAAGTATAAAGCTGCAATGTGTTGAGATATAATACTTGTAAAGAGATGAAACCTGCTGACTAAAGCCATATACATCATGAAAGCAAACAAATGACTGAACACTCCGATAATTGTGATACAGTGTCTTCCCTTTTTCAGCATAAATATACAAAATATACATTTCCAGTTCCTTTTGAGATCTCTTTTGAAGTGGATACACTCAAAAATTCAACTAATTTCAGTTGTACATCGAGAGTCAATAGGAAATTGCATAGATACAGAAGAGCCTCCGTGACCAGTCCAGCTCCTAGTTCTGATGCCTCTTCATGTGGAGCGCCAGGTGGTCGGAGCGGGAGAAGCTGCGGTTGCAGACGGCGCACTGGAAGGGCTTGGCCCCCGTGTGCTTCCTGTAGTGGCGCGTCAGCTCGTCGGAGCGCGCGAACCGCCAGTCGCAGCCTTCCCATGTGCACTTGTAGGGCTTCTCACCTGGAACAGAGCAGGCAAAAATGGAACCGTCAGCTGCCACTCCTCAGCAGAAAACTGACATATGTCTGCACTGAATGTCACTGCTCTTCCATTACATATCCTCATTATTCACAGCCCTATGCATCAGGCCCCAAACTAACAGCCTCTTTGTTTTCTCAGCTCTTGAAAATGGGATTTAATTCCTCACTAAAACATACAAAACTTTCAAACATGCAAATTGGAGAGAGCTACGGTACAGGAATGCAGAGTTAAAAAGCCTGCATGAGACCAAAACCTGCTCCTTTACACTCACCACAGTATGGGAGGGAGTAGGGGGAAAAAAAAGCAGTCTCGTGTGACAATCAAGACTGGTGTGTAACTTAACTTGCACCTTTCAAAAATGGGCAAACACAGTGCCTTTTTAAGAGGTCTGAAATGGCAAAGAAGATTTCTATAAGGATTCTTTGCAGTGTGCAGATCTGTTCAAGAGCTTCTGATATGTGAAGAAAGGGGCACAGTGTGCTACAAACACAACGGGGATAGTATTTCCTAAAATGTCACAAGCAATAAAAACTTGTGGTATCCTGCCTGGGGCTAGCTATAAATAGGAGAAAGCACCTCCAAGTTCAAAGCACCCATTTTCAGAATAAAATGTCTTTAATCAGGTGCTTAAATAGCCATATTTTAAGATGGCAAGTTCTTGCTGTCTTCAGCAGTCTATACTGATACAGGAGGAACATGGCACCTCAAAACTTGCTGTGTTACAGCAGCAACCAGCCCAGGCACCTGAAATGTTCATGTTCATCCATTTTAGAACTCGAAAAACAGTGTTTAAAGCATTCCTACAATTTACAGGTGTTTGTTGAAATGGGGGAAATATGGAGTCACAAAGCCATGATGACTTCTGTGTGAAATCAGAATTTTACACGAGTATGTACACATGCCTAGGAGCATGATGTCACCACACAAGCAAGCTTCATATAAATAAAGAGATTAATGTTCTTCATATAAATAAAGAGGTTAATGTTTGATGTTGTTTGACAAAAACACCTTGGAGTTGGGAGAGTGAATTGCTATCTGTATTATTTTGTATTAATTTGACTTGTTTGTCATGAAGATAAAGAAAACTGAGCATATCAAAGCACTTGGCAGTAGCTTCATTTGGAACAGAAACTGACCAAAGCTGAGCTTTTCAAACATTTCTTTCTAATCCATCTTACAGATCTTCTACAGCCCCACTGGTCCCAAACCTTTGCACTGACAGCTCAATCCTACTGCAGAGTGAAGTGCCTCCTACTTTTCCCTGTTTCACTATCACACACGCACATGGAAGAAAGAGAGGGGTCAGTAGCCTGCAATCAGAGTGCTTATTCTGCATCAGTTATGCAGGTAACACCACCTGAGAAGCTCCAAACCATTACTTCAAAGGCACTTATTTATCATGCAGATGAAATTATGAAACTGCTTTTGTCTGGGAGTTTCTACTGCTTTGTCTGATCAGCTAAAAAGTTTTCATCTACTACTGAGTGCAGAACTAGCCCTTTGCTCATAATGGGGATGTAACTTTGTACTGCCAGGTGTTGTCACAACCAGAACTAGACCTTTTCAGGAAAAACTAACCACCCACCCACCCAACAATCTCTTTACATCAACAGCAACTGGGATTTATTGAAGTCATGGTGGAAACCTAACATTCCTTAGGAAAGACGAGAGCCCGGCATCACCTCTCACAGAATTTGTAATTATTTGGTGGATCACAAATCAGAACAGAAATCATCACAGACTTCTGTCACAGCTGAATTAACTGTGAGTAAACTCTGAATTTACTCAGAGTAAATTCTGATGCTGATTGAAGATAGGAATGATCTATCATATAGAGTTCTTCTTTTTTGCTCTATGAAACAAATACTGTAGGCTAAAATACAAATTTCATTCAAACATAGTGTGTAAGCTTTTCTAACACCAATGAATCCTACTGAGAACACATTTGATCTTCACAGTAGAATGACAGGAAAGGTCCCTATTCAGTGAGGATCTTTTGCACTATATAGATGATCGATGATCCTCAATGTATTTTAATTGGGTTAACAATAGAGGCTGTAAAAGCCTGTGTTGCTGATCCAAAGGCACAGCACCAGGGAGATAATCATTGAACACTTTGTGTTAAGGCACATGTGCACACACAGAAGTTACACAAAATAATTATTCCTGTATTTGAAATGTCTTAATTTAGGGACAGTGTATTTATTTATTTTCCTCCTTTCTTTCTCCTTTTCTCCCTGTTTCCCTTAAATTCTTCCTTAAAAGTTTTCACTCAAAGCTGCCACATTATACTTGACGCTCACAGTGCTGTGAGCCTGACACCCTCGCTGGCCAGGGAGAGCATATACAGTCAGGCCTCCATCTACTCCAAATGCTTCTTGTGTTTTGCAGGATTATACAAGGAATGACAGAGAAGGTAAAGAGGGCAGGAAAACAGCACTAGTTAACAAAAGCCTAGGAGTATCCAGACCAGACTGGAATGGGGACCCGGAGATTAAGATCTGTTTCCAAGTCCGGCACTGAGGAGGTATGAAATACCCAACTTTCACTGAGTGTGAGGCTATGCTGCACTGTAAAAGCAGCCTCAAAGCTGTCCTGTGTAGGTGACACCTGACCCTGTCAGAGTCCAAACAGCAACAAAAAAAGCTGTCCCCTGTTAAAACCTTTCCTAACACGCGAGCAGTGTCAGCAGGTGTTGTGAGGGCTCCTGGCAGAGGAAGTGCCGGCGTGCCGGCAGTCTGGGCAGCAGTGATCCCTGTGCCCTGCTGGGTGCCACAGCCTCCCAGGCAGTGCTAAGTGCCACGGCCAGGACCCCCATCAAAGCCCAGGGCACTCAACTTTGCAGAGACACTGTTTAGCAGCTCACCACACTGTCATGGTCACACCACTGCCTGCCACAGCCACAAATCATCCTGGACAACAGCGTTGCTCCAGGAAAAGCTCAGGCAGTGCCATGCAGAACAGCACCACTCCTCCTTGCTGGCAGACTGCTGCAGACCTGAGCTAAACCAAGCACTGCTAAGGGGATGAGCACAGGAACAAGCTGGTGCCTTACTCAGATTGTTTTAATAGTGTTACTTTTATGTACTGGAAATTAAAGCCAGAACGCTGCTTTTAACCCCTGCTTTGGCCAACAGTGAGAACTGGAAAATATATTTTTAGTGCCAGTGTAGAGGCCCGGATTATTTTGAATAAATCCTAGGGGTAAAATACTGAATATCTATGTTTGTAATGCTAGTTTCCGTTGGAAAGTTTTATTTAAGAACTGAATCAATTTCAAATGTTTTCCTTTTGGGCAAGGAGGAAGGGGGGGGGTAAAAAAAAGTAGGTGGAGATTAATTTTCACTCATTTAGAGCAAGCAGAGAACAACTAGCTGGTACTGTTTTCTCTCTCTCAACCTATACACATGCTTTTTGTCATTTAGCAGAAATAAGAATTTGGTTTTAAGTTCCTGCAAGCAAGGGGAAAAGAGTCTCACATATTTTTCTGAAGTGATCCTACTTCTTTACTGTGCTGATTTTGAAGGTCAGAGAAATCTGGGTTGAAGACTTATTTTTAAAAAACGCAGGTATACACAACAAGGGACACTGAACTCTTTATCCACTGTTTTCGTTGGCTACATAGTAATGTAAGATTTGTTTACTTTAATGATTGTGCAAAATACAGTAGCTGTAAAGTTTCAGAAGTATTTGGTTTTCCTTCAGCAATTTAGGGCTTCTATAGGGTGTTAAACCAAGAATGCCACTGGTCATCAAACATGAGAGCAGTACAGCTCAGTAACTGGAACACGACCATGGTATCAAACAGGTATTTCACTGTAAAAGCAAGAAAACAGCTAACTCCTCCACTTCAGGGGAGCTTCCACGGGATTTGTTAGAATGTCAACACTGTTCAACTAAAACACCATGGAGGAAGCTGGTACCGATTTCCAGCCAAATAGCACACTCCAACCCTTTCTTCCCAAGCCAGAAATATTATACACAGCACTTCTGGGAAACAGAACTGCTTTCCTTTAAATTATACTTCAACAGGATAGGGATTTCATAAGTTTAATTGGATTTCTGCACAACCTCCTTCCAGTATCAATGGTTTAAAATATTTTGCTAGGCTTATACATCACAAAATATATTTTTAAGTTCTTGAGCTCTTAATATGCATCCATTCTCCTGTTTTAAAGAAATACATTTGTGGAGCATGAGAATGAGACTTGTATTTGAGCACAGAAATTTTAAGCCCTAATGTTTAGATTGGAAGGTCTTTTAAAGAAAGCACGCACCAAGAGATAAGGGAGTTTAATCTGAAAGGAGACTATTTTGCTTCCAAAGTGTCTATTTGTTATAAAAAAATTATTCATAATGCTGTGAGATTACCAGGACGTCAAAAAGACGTTTAGATGTCCACATATAATGTGCTACACTAGCCAGCCACTTCAACAGATAAAATCTCCCCCAGCAGATCCCATGGTTCGGGTTTCTTATCAATACCACAGGAGAGTGGTCTGGATCAGTAAAGTACACACACTGTGTTGCCTCTTCTCCCTTTAATTTATCTTCTGATTCAGTTGTGTCAAAACGCACCAATGGCTTTCCTAACATTTAATTCTAGTCGCTGGCAGTGACCCTTGTGGCCATGCTCATTGGGGTAAGGCACAGTGCCACTCGTGTCGGGGGGAGACGGTCATTTTGAAGACACCCTCTATCTTCAACACAAGCCTCTGCTCAAGAACATGTTTCTGTTTAAAACTGTTTGGAAAAAACAAGTCACTGACAGACTCCGTTTTTGATGAATCTCCCCATTAATAAGAAAATAAGCTTCCTTATTTCATCAAAGAGTCGTATGACTTTACTTCTTTTATTTCTGCAATTCACTGCCAGGACGGCTTTCTTTAAAAAAAAAAGTTGTAAACAGCAAGGGCTGGATTTTCAAACCTAAAGTTAGGTAACTCTATTGGTATGCAGAAATCCAAATACAGATATTA